GAGGATGAAAGAACAGGCCCTGGTGAGGATTGGGGAGCAGATTTTAAGATTACGCAAGTTTTAAAATCACATTAAATCACATGGCAGAGCACAAGGCCAGCTTTTGTGGTGCTGGCAATGAATGCCAGCCTTCACCTCCAGCACCTGGTGTCGTCCTCCTCCATCTGCCCCAACGTATCCCAAGCCTGATCTTCAGCACTCCTGCTACTCAAGCCCCAGTGCTCTCCCACCCCCGCCAACCTCATTGCAAGTGCACTTGATTTGCAGCCCCCACACTGCAGCAATAGGGCAGCTCTGTCTCCCTAACCCCCCCAAACTTCTCAGCCAGCAGCCACAGAGCTCAATCCTGCAAAGCACTGAGCACCTCGTGGGAGTTGGTGTGGTCTCGCCTCTTATTGATTTCTATGGGGGCTGAGCACTGTACACAGAGAATCAGAGGACTCCCCTGCTCCAAAGAGCTTAAAATCTAAACCCATCAGAATCACGCCTCCCCAAATGGTCTTGACTTCTGCCAGGAGGTGTGCGGAGAGGGGAGGCAACAACTCAGAGTGGCCATGTCAGCAAGAGGTGCTCCCTGCTCAACTCTCTCCGCTAGGGGAGCAGGGAGTGCCAAAGAATCTGAGAACAAAATGGAAAGGAGGGTTCAATGCATCCTTAGAGCAGATGGCCCTGGTCCCCGAGTCAATAAACACCATTTACTGAACTCTGCCTGGAAGAGCACCGGCCAGATGCAGGCTTTGCAAACACCACTTCCCCCTAACACTTCTGTTTTACAGGCGGGAACCTGAGGTTCAGAGGCCCAGAAATTGTATCCAAGCATCCCAATTACCAGTCCTGAGCTCTAGCCACAGGATCACACGCTCTTCATTTGTCAAAAAGTCTCTTTGGTCGACGTCAGCCACCGCTTAGAACTGAGTTGCCACAATTGTGAGGCTTTGTACTGGAGACACAGACCTCCTCTGTTGATTCAGGTTCCAAGTAGCTGCTGTATCGCTCCAGCTCACAGGAATGGAGACTCCAGAAGGAACAAGTGCGCTTCGGAGGAGGAGCTGTCAGAAGGCTTGTGCAGGACATTATCATCTGCTGTCATGAAGTAAGGTCACAAATTCATCAGTTTCTCCTTGTGATTGGGCCAGATGCAAAGACAGGAGGGAGAAAAGCTACTTGGTCTCTTACTCAAACAAGGTAACCGGAGTTGAAGAGTATGAAGAAAATAATGTGAAGGACTGGACTGATTCCTGTCAGTAATGGAGATATGGGGGGGTGTAGTTGGCAAAGGCTTTCTCTGTGCATCCCCCTCCCCCACCCCTTGGATCCATGCTGCCCACTTCATGGGCTGGCCCCACTGGCTCCAGGTCCACAATGGAGAATGGGGTGTGGCTATACTGGACCACTGTACTCAATTCCTGGCAGACCCTTTACCACCCAAGGCAAGAGCCCGGGTCCTGCCAGTGCTCTGCTAGGTATAAAAGCTCTTGTCTAGGAAGCCTTCTTGGAATTGCCTTCCTTCCCCTCAACAATTTTGCATTCAGGAGCTTCCAGACTCTCCACCCTCCTCTCTAGAGCATCCCTAACACTCTCCCTGTAACACTGCGAGCAACTGGGTGCGACAGTTCCTCTGCTCACAGGCAGAAAATGGAGAAGCGAGGACCCCACTTGGTCTCCAGAGGCAGAAGTGATAGGCTGTTAAAGGCCACGCGGCTTGTGCGTGTAGGGGGGAGCAAAGGTCAGTAAGGCTACAGCAATTCTTCCTTTCCACTGGCTCCTCAATGCTTGTAACACCGCAAAAACCTGGCATCAGGATAAGCAGAGTCCACTTCGCAGATCAAATAAAGAGCAGCCAAACCACAATAAGCCACTGAAGATCTCCCCCCTGCACCTTGTTCCACTCAGTCATGCTATCCATTGTAACATGAAGCTGCAATCTCCACTACACTGCACCTAATTCAAGAGGCCCCTATGCACTGACTGAGATCTCTAGAACTTACCCTAGACTTTACCTGCTAGTCCTGGAAAGGCAGGAGCCCTTTGAAGCCAGCTGTTTATTGAGTAGACCTTAAGAGTCTTGTGGCCTTTCTCTGAGTGATTACAACTAACAATGGCTAGAATCCAAATCATTGCTTCCATTGTGCAGTTCCTGCTTGTTCACTTAGGTTGCTTAGTTTCCGTTGAAGCGTCTCAGTCTGTAGCAAAGCAGCTGCTGAGAGGAGGCTGTGTTCACCTCAGTGTCACAGGCTAAGGAGGGTGCTCGGAGGCCAATAAAGCAATCAGATGCACCTTCTCTTTGGTGGGAGGAAGGCTGGCGAAGTCTCAGAGCACAATACCCTATGGATTTAGCTCAGCTGCTCAGATGAGTCCAGGACCGCCTTGTCCTATGGCAAGGCAGGGAACAGAAGACAAAATACTGGGGAACTTAGATTCAGCCCCTCCATCTCTTCCTAAAGCCACAAATGGAGAAATTCTCCCTAACTCTACCTTAGAGGCTTGGGATTTACAGGTTAGACTGACCAGAGTCCACATGCCTTTGCTACATTCACTCAACCAGTAAATGGTCAGGCACTAGCACAGGGGGAAGCCAGCTGAGCTGTTCTAGTAGGTGATTCCTATTCCAGGGGGAGTCCGAACAGCAGCAGCTAAAGCCAAACCAGAAAGTACCACCAGCTCCTAGGGCCTGGTGTGTTCTCTCTCGTCTGTATGGCGCCCTGGGTAACTGGCCACCCCATTCTCCCTCCTACATTGTCTTTACAGAGTCAGGTGGCAGATTCTCATGGGTTCCACATTCAGCTTGCCATCACTGAAGCAAGTGCTGAAGAAGGGGCAGAACCGGCGTGCAGCAGCCTGGTGGAAGGTGAAGAGGTGGGTCATGTTCTCGGCATTGTAGAACGCCACTTTCCCTTCTTCACAGTCCAGAAAAACCCCCACCTTCCGGAGGCAGCTCCTTGGGGCGAGGCGCACCCACGGGGTGGCAGCGGCCCAGTACTCTGTGCTGTTCCTCAGACGAAGCGCCCAGTAGCCATTCTCAGGACACAGCTTGACCTTGGCTGCCCGGTCCACGGACTCTGCTGCCACCCCCAGGTCCCACTTGGTCTTGCTGCCCACCCAGACCTCCCAGTAGTGGCTCCCACTGTCAAAGGCCTGGGAGCCGAGAACATTCACACACTGCTGAAAACGCTTGGGACTGCTGCAGACAGGTTGGCGTCTGTCACTCTCCGTCACTGCAGTCAGGTTTTTGGAGAGGACGAGGTTGGGGTGAGCTGATTCTGGGTCAAAGGTCAGTGGGGCAGGAGCTACAACAGAGACAGAAATTTGTCAGGGCTTTGCTCGATGTTTTTCCAATCTAGGTGACTTCCCCTCCCTGGGAGCTGCTCTCTGCCCATCTCCCCACCTGGCCATTTCCATTCCCAAGGACCCTGCACTGTGGGACACTCACCAGGGTGGATTGACTGTAGCATTTGTCTCCAGAAGATGTACTGCAGGGGACCGCTGTACCGCTCTCTGTGGCACTGTATGTCCAGGGCAGGCTGTGCCACTGCATGCACTGGGGGCCTGGGCAAAGCAAGGGGCAAGAGTGAGGCAGGGTCCAGACAAGGAAACAGTTGTTTTTACAAAGCCCTTACTAAAAGCTTACTAGAACAGAGGGCAGACTGGGGGTGTTTTAGGAGCAAGGCCTTTGCGGGAGACAAGGGATAAGAGCAAACGGACATAGCAATGCAGGTACATCTCAGAAAGGTCAGAGGGGCTGTTACATTCCATCAGGGATATCGAACAGGAAGTTACTCTGAGGGCAGAGTCATCAGTAGAGAGAATAACCTCTGAGCTAAGACAGGCTGCTGCCCTCTGCCTCTGCTCCTCCAGGGCATTTCAGCCAGTAAGGGAAGGTACAGGGCTCCTAGAAGCCTTGGGCAAAATTCAGCAGAGGCGGACATGGTGGCATGGCAGGTAAAGCGGGGCAACATACATGGGTTCACCAATAGGTGTGCAAAATGAGCATGACTTACTCCATTCTCAACCCTACTCTAGCAGCGCAAAGCAGCCAGAATCAGCCAAACTGGCCTTCTGCTGCAGCAGCTCCTACTCGTCCCTCTCAACCCACAGAACAGGGACCAAGGAAAGTGGCAGCTGCCACAATTTCAGACCTGTCCCAAGGCTGCTTCAATGACTGATTGCTTTGGGGGTGAGGCTAGAGACCCCAGGACCTGAAAGAAGCCACACTGGCTCAAATTCAATTTTGCACCTGCCCCCTCTCCTCTGAGCTATGCTAAACACTGAAAGGTGGTCCCAAAGGGGCAGAGCGAACAGTAAATGCAACTAAACAGCATGTCATGGATTCATAAGGCCATTTATATCACAGCCAGTGACCAGTCCCTCAGGAGCGATCCCTTTAGGCTACATAACTGATGCTGGGTCTGTCAGGAGCCAGCAATCCATCTCCCTGGGGCTTTCTGCTGCAAATCCTGCCAAGCCAGACTTTTGTGGGAAGCCTGCCTGTTACCCCTTCAGGCTGCAATGCTCTAAAGTATTTTTGGTGACACTTGGCAGCCTTTTCAAAACAAAGACAAATCAATTGTTGCCTCCAGAATCTGAAAGTCTGTAGGTCACCACAAGGGAGCAACAGTTAAGTCAGAATTCAGCTTGGCCAGAGCCAGGGCTCTCATAAGACATGCTGCTGTAGTAACTATTGCTTGCACTCTTGTCTCTGCATGGGGCAAGACCCCATTTGTCTCTGGGAGCTCAGCTCTTCACACAACCACCTGACACCTTTCCCCCCCTTCTCTAGCTCAGAGAGAGAGAATAGTCCTTTCTCTTGGCAGTTGGTCACTGGGTGCAAAATGGCTCAGCCACAGGACTTTCCACTTCTTGTTCTGGATCCTCCATTCACACGTGTAGCCTCTATTCAGTTGATTAATGATTCTGATCTCTAACCAGATGTCTACGAAAGTCCAGCACCTCTTCTTTGCCATCAGTGCTATGCGATGGAGGAATGCATAAAAATAATACAAACATTTCCATATTCATCACATACAGCCCTCTGTTTTAGCTTATACACCCTGGTATTCGATGTAACTACACTCCACTTTTTCCTTATCTGTAATTCATGCTCATTGAACACACCCAAATTGGTACCTTGGACTCTTGTTTTACCACATGCATTACAGCCCATGCTTCCATTGAACCCAGCCCCGGAAGCCCAGCCCTTCTACATGAGAACATGTGATGCTTGCTGGGGGAAGGACTAGTCTCCCTTCATCTGGCTCCATGCCAACAGCCTGCTAGACAATTAGCAATGCTTTAAAGACTAAAAAGATAACACCTCTCTTCCCACCATCCTCTGCCAAGGAGGGGAGATAAAAGCCTCCTGAAAAGGAAAACAGCTTGCTTAATTCCAGACATGTACCTGATAGTCCAGCTCTCCACCTGCAATGAAAGGCAGAGAAAATTAACAATCACCATCCTTAATTCATACAGCTGCACAAATAAATTAACTGCTCTCTCCTCTGCCACCACACTAAAAAAAAAAAAAAAAGAACACACCAGCCATGGGTGGGTGGGTGTGTGATATATATATATATATATATATATAAAAACAATGACAAAGAGGGCGTGGAACACATCTAAAATGCCTCTACTTTCTTCCTCCACAGTATTAAGACATGATTCCAAGGGCCTGAGAATAAGACCTAGAAGACCAGGAATGAGACAAAACAGCAAGTGTCTGTATAATAAAGAGTTATTCTCAAAGGAGGTTTCATTTAAGTCTCTCACCTTCCTCTATACACTTTAATTTGCCTATTACTGTTTGGGACGGATTTCCCTCTGCTTAGAGGAATTTTCCTATAAAACTGAGATAGGAAGAAAGATTAAGCATAATTACAGGAACGGGCTCCAAAGGACACAGCTGGCTCTGGGAACCTGAGGCAGGTAAAGGCACTTGCTTTATTATTAAATAAACTGAGTGCAGTTTTACCTATCTGAAGCCAACAGAGCCTGACTTCATTTTCTGGGGTTCCTCACCCGTTCCCAGAACTGGAGTCAACCCCTTCTCATTCTCTCCTGCATTTTGCTAGTCAGTTCTTAATCTGAGCTTCTGCAAGGATAACAGTGCCTAAGATTTACTTCTTCCCCTTCTGTTCATTAACTTGTATAGATTGCCATTCACAATGAAAAGGGCCAAGAGGGGCAGGTAAAGTGCTTTTGACCCTGCAATCAAAGAGATAGGAGTCCTTTTTTCATGGTCCCATCAATGTTTTCTCTGTACCCCCACTGTGCAGGGGAACAGAGAGTGCCAAATATTCACAGCTGCCAAGAACAACAATGGAGGGTGATTTCTTACAACATGAGCCTTGATAGATCTAGCTTAGCAATGCTGCTCAGTGCTGCAGCATCACTCGTTTTGCCCAGCCCGAGGGTCTCTACATGTCTCCTCAGTACAGACCACATCTTAGTAGAGAACTTGTCTCATGGACCACTTCCTCCCCTCCCACATCACAAAACATCCCTGTGGCAACCTCTGCAACTACTTACATGGAACAGTAATTAGGGAAGTATTGAAAGGTTTTTTAATGTGCCTATGATGTCATTTAGCAGATGGAAAGAAGAGGGAGGTAGCCACTCTGATGAGACAACTTTGTACAGTACGCAGCCAGAGCTCTAGACCAGGATCCGTGGGTCCCAGTTTTAGACAATAGATTCTGCCCTGCCGGGTGCTTCCCTTTCAGATGTGTAGAGCCTAAAGTCTTGGGCCATCCTACAGCACAATATATTTTTTCTGCTACTCTCCAACTTCCTGATTCAGATTTTGAGTTCTCCCCACCATGTATCAGCACTTTGCCAACATTCTTCACCCTCCTTCCCAAGCATCATCTCATTAAGAGCTGGTTTAGCGCACTCACCTCCAGCAGTAATGAGTCTCCCGTCTTGTTCAGGATTTCCTGTATGTGCTCAATGTTCTTTCTCAGGTCTGAGATCCCTTCCTCTAGCTGCATAATGTCCCCACGCAGCCTCACCAACAACAGCTCCTCCTCTTTGGCAAGCTCCATCAACACAACTCTCTCCTTTTCCTCCAGGATTTGATGAAGTCGCTCAAATTCTGCATGAATCTTAGAGTTCAGCTCCCCAGAGGTTTTCTGAGCAGAGGAAAATACCATAAACACAGTGAAAAAGGTTGTAGGTCAATTTCCTATAGGGTTTCAGAAATCTCAAAAACTATGGAGCAGAGGGAGAGAGATAAAAATGAAGGGCTTTAGATCCACAGAGAGCAATGGCTGGGGCACTTCTAAACATATGCCTTTTAAACAGATACACACAACTGGTTTATATAGATGCATGCAATCCCCCCCTCCCCCAGCCAAGTAGTTTGGAAGGCTAATGTCAATTCCTTTTCCAGTGACTTTTCCCCCCTAAATCTACCACTCCAGATTTAATTAAAACCACTTCTGAGCAGCATACTGATATAACCCCACTGATATACAGCTTCTGCTCACACAGCAAAGGCTTGCTCCCTGTATGTACAATGTCTGGAACATGATTTTATGGTAACTAATACACCAGCTACTGACTGAAATGGTTGCATGAGTCCAAGTTCTCTTTACCATTATACACTTCTGGGCAACATAGGGATAGGTTTTGATGGTCAGTGAAATTGTAACTGCATCCAAGTGCATTAGTGAAGGGGCCAATTTCACTTGCTTAGATCGAGTGGATCAAGGATGCCCTGACTTTTTATATGGATCATTTAGTCCAGCAAACGGTACTTTTAGCCATTCCCAATGTCAAGGCTAAAAATACAAGGAGAAGAGATTAAGGATGTTTCTATTTAGTTTGTACCCAGCTATTTGATTTATCTCTCTGTATTATTAAATGTTAGTGTCTCTAGAGGCCCAGGTCACAGAACTGTATACAGTCATCACACAGTTGCAAACACAGTCCCTGCCTTCAAGTACCCACTACTAAACCTATGGTGAAATACAGCAGGTGGATACAAAGTAGCAACAGATAACAGTGAGACAATTATAGCCAGCATGATAAGTAGCAGTCATGGCACAGCAGCCAGGAGGCCGCTGCTGAGTGTTCTGCCAGCTCCATGGCAGAGGTCTCATCTGCAACCCCCTGCCAGTGGCTTGCTTAGAGTACCAGAAATGGTTATGTTTATATTTTGGGATGCAAGAGAACTCGATCAAAGCTGGAGAGTCTCCTGTGAACTCAGCACCCTGAGCCCTGAATGCTGAAGTGTATTAAAGTGAACACGTACAGACAGCAGCCCTGAAACTTAGATGGTAAAAGGGTCCCATCGCGATGATATTCTGAGTACCTCCCCCCCGCTGCTTCATACAAATCTTTTCGGAAGGAGATTACTGAATTCCTTTGGAGAAAATAAACTAATAAAGAGCTATCAATTACCATTTGTCTTCTGTGCCAGCTGGCTCAAATGACTATGCAAGACATAGTCTAAATCTCACCTGCAGCAAAGCTATGTCTAAGTGTAATAATGGCATGGGTGCAGTTACATCATTGTAGACATTTACTACAGTGAGGGAATGGATTTTTCTGCTGAGCAGTTAATGCCCCACTCACAAGATGGTAGCTAAGTCATCAGAAGAATTATTCTATCAACCTAGATGCTTCCACAGCAGGGGTTTGGTTGACTTAACTAGGTTGCACAGGATGCAAAATTTTTCACAGCCTTGAGCAATGTTGCTAGGTTGACCTACATTTTAGGTGCAGAGAGGGCCTTATTCTATGTTGAAAGGTCCTTTGGATTAAGACTTGAAATGGGTAGTGTGTGTGGGGCACAACACAGCTGCCTTTGAATTCTTTAATTAAATACTCTTGAAATGCAATACACCCAGTGAGCGGATAGAAGAGAAGCCTTTACCCAGCCCACCCTGGTAGAGCACCACTGGCAGGGCTGTCCATATGCATCTGTGCAGGGAACTGGACAATTTGGGGCACCACTGAATCTTAATGTTCACCCACCCACCTCTTCCTATCTTGATTTTGTGACTCTGCTTCCTCCAGAGAGGAGCTAGTTCACTTAAAAGTGAAAAAGGCTGCCAGAGCTATTAGCATAACTCTGAAGCTGTACAAAAGCCATTCAAGTGGTAATGAAGCCATTTAACAGACATTTACCAACCCCAGGTATATACTACCAGTTTCTAAATGTATTGTGCTAGTCTATAGGACCTTAGTTAAAAATCCCCTTTAAAAATTTCATTAGTGTGTTGCTGAAGACTACAGGCAGTACCTGGGTTACGTGGATCCGACTTATGTCGGATCCCTACTTACGAACAGGGCTTTTCTCGCCGCGGAGGACGCGGGCGGTGGGACCGCCCAGAAGCGCCGCAGTCCCGCCGCCTGCATCCTCCGC